TGAAACACCAAAATGCATTTATAACGCATTTGATTTAGAAACATTATTAACATATAATATAATAGCTCCATTATCATTACCTTCTGGTACTTGCAGTCTATTGGTTCTTCTTGTTAAGGCATCTTGTAGAACTTTTGAGTCGTGAGCTGAACCTTCTCATCTACTTAGAACATATATGAACTCAAGATCAAAGTTACAAGCAGCTAGTACATTTTGCGAAATGACCCCTTTTCGATTACGGTAATTTGCCTTTCCATGACCTTTTACCATGGCAGTAATGTGTGTGCCATCAATAGCTCCGATAGAATCCTTAAACAAATTCAAATTTGTTAATATATAAATCTAAAATAACTAATAGTGAAACATAAAACGATGTGGACCTTGAAATAAGGATAAAATCTTGTGCTTTTGCTTATTTTTGCGGGCACTGTATGAGTAGGCTTAGCCATCAAACTTGGTGCAAGCGTGTTCAAAGCTCTGAGAACCTTATGAAAGTTCGTACTTGTTGCAAATTTTGATCTCTTGAACGTGTCAATCGTGTGGCAATATTTTGAATTTTGGCCAACTGTCGTCAAAAAAGTAGCAACCATCTCTTCGACACACATATATCGTGTGTTTCTCAAATCTGTCTTTGTTCTATAAGATAACATAAATCCGTAAACACATCAGGTTACATGCGGTATAATTGCCGAAAATGAATAGGATCACCTTTCATTGCATTTTGTATATAAGTATGCCCTTCTCTGGTGATTTGTCGCCGAATCGGACGTGAAATTTGATTTTCATATGCAACAAATGATCCAATAAGCATCAATAACATAATGTCTACGTCTGAATTATCTTCCACGGCAAAATTTTGTTCCATTATTTAAGTACCTACAATTAAAATATTATAATTAGATGATCACCATCACAAACTATCATTTCTCTATATATCATCAAATGGGAACAAAAACCAGAGTTGTTAATTACAGTGATATAGAAATATCCCCTTGATAATATCTAGAAATCATTAGCCAAACCAACATCAGATAGATCTGAAAGAGAATCATTAGCCAAACCAACAAGCGTACATCAAAACGAACCTTGGAATGCATCAAACGTTCTTGAGAAAATGGAGAGACCTTGGAATGAATCTAACGTGAGAGGCTTGAGTTGGAGATGTGAAATGATAATAATAAAAAGATATGTGTATCTATTTGTTGGAG